CCCCCCGCCGCCGGCTTCGCCTTCCCGCCCGCGCCCTACGGCGGCGCCTACCAGCCGAGCCAGGGCAGCGATGACGACTGGGACGACGACTGGGACGACAGCTCCACGGTGGCCGACGAGCCCGGCGCCCTGGGCGGCTCCTACGGCGACTACGAGGCGGCGGCCGGCGGCGGCCCCGGCCGCTACCGCCTGTCCACGCGCTCGGAGCTGTCGCTGGGCTCCCGCGGCGGTGGCGGCAGTGGCGGCCCCCCRGGCGGCCCCCCGCACCCGCCCGGCRGCGGCGGCGCCAAGAGCTCGGCCACCGTGAGCCGCAACCTCAACCGCTTCTCCACCTTCGTCAAGTCGGGCGGCGAGGCCTTCGTGCTGGGGGAGGCGTCGGGCTTCGTCAAGGACGGCGACAAGCTGTGCGTGGTGCCGGGCCCCCGTGGCCCCGAGTGGCAGGAGAACCCCTACCCCTTCCAGTGCTCCATCGAGGACCCCACCAAGCAGACCAAGTTCAAGGGCATGAAGAGCTACATCGCCTACAAGCTGGTGCCCAGCCACACGGGGCAGCAGGTGCACCGCCGCTACAAGCACTTCGACTGGCTCTACGGGCGCCTGGCCGAGAAGTTCCCCGTCATTTCCGTGCCCCACTTGCCCGAGAAGCAGGCGACCGGCCGCTTCGAGGAGGACTTCATCTCCAAGCGCCGCAAAGGCCTGGCCTGGTGGATGGACCACATGTGCAGCCACCCCGTGCTGGCCCAGTGCGAYGCCTTCCAGCACTTCCTCACCTGTCCCAGCACGGATGAGAAGGCCTGGAAGCAGGGCAAGCGCAAGGCGGAGAAAGATGAGATGGTGGGGGCCAACTTCTTCCTGACCATCAGCGTCCCCGCCGGCCCCGGCACCGGCCTGGACTTGCAGGAGGTGGAAAGCCAGGTGGACGGCTTCAAGGCCTTCACGAAGAAGATGGACGAGAGCGCCCTGCAGCTCAACCACACGGCCAACGAGTTCGCCCGCAAGCAGGTCACTGGTTTCAAGAAGGAGTACCAGAAGGTCGGGCACTCCTTCAAGTGCCTCAGTCAGGCCTTTGAGCTGGACCAGCAGGCCTTCTCCGCAGGCCTCAACCAAGCCATAGCCTTCACTGGGGAAGCCTACGACRCCATTGGGGACCTCTTTGCAGATCAGCCCCGGCAGGATCTAGATCCTGTGATGGACCTGTTGGCGCTCTATCAGGGGCATTTGGCCAACTTCCCGGACATCATCCATGTCCAGAAAGGTAACACCCTTATGTGTCTTCCAAAAYGAGGAAGTTTTACTTATTGGTGGTATGCACACGGAGGGAGGAAGCRGGGGCTGCATTTGTGCTGGGTCTGGCTGGCTCAACTTGGGTGAAGTCTTTCAGTGTTTATTCAGGTAAACTGATGCTACAAAACAAACCAAAATACAACAGTGATAATTTTCATTCTGTGCCAAAGACCRCAGTTTTACTGGGAATTTCACTGGCTAAAGGTCACCAAGTTTTGCTGTGTGTATGTGTGTGTGTGTGTACATATATATATAGAGAGAGAGAGAGAGAAAGAGAGGAAACCATATCTGTCTGTACTATAGCTATACTAAAGATTAAAGAGCTTGTCTGGAAATGAAGTGGCATGAAAACATGTATTACTGTCTTATATATTTTAGATCTTAGATATTATGTCGTAAATCTCTGAAATAACCAGAAGGTACTCCAGTTGTTCCTCCTGTTTGAGGTTTAGTCTCATAACGTTGTGTTACATGTGTTTTGCAGTGTAAGACATTCAGAAGAGATGTTTTAAGCAGCTGGCTTTTGTCTGCTTGGCTACACACTGAACACTTTTAATGCTTTTGTGGGGTTAATAGTCTGCCAGCATGTTGAAGGCAGGAATTGTTCACCCTCTTGTTATCCTGAAAAAGGTGTTGCTCATCTGTTAACCTTGCTGCAGCTTTGTGTGTGAAACACAGCTCTGGGCTTCCCGCTGCTGTTTGTGTGGCACTYGGTGATTCACAGGAGAGAAATCTCCGAAGAATCTGCTGTGTTACTAGTGGCAGTTGTTCAGAGGAGCAGAGGTTTGTAACACTAAATCTGTGTAGGTGGTTTTGCTGCTGTGTGGTTAACGCTCTTCATATCTGCCTTTGCTTCGTTTGCTGTGCTGCTTGCTTTTCCATCATTTTCAACTTRAAAATCAGAGGTGTGTGGGGACTACAGCTGTGAAAATGACCAAGAAGCATCACATAGGCTGTACAGGAAATGGTGTGGGTAACAGTTTAAAACCAAAGAGCTGCTTCTCTGGAAAATCTTCAGACATTCCTAGCTGCTGTTCTGTATCCTAAGTTTCAGCACATGCATTATCAATCACAGTGAATCAGTCATTTTTCCCCTTTTGAGACTTTTTAATTGAATTTTGCCTCTAGAACAGTACGTTCAGATTTAAGACAAAACAATTTGGAAAAAGTCAGCTTTCAGTCTGCCTTATTACTGGGAAAATCTGAGAAATGAGAGTTGGGATAAAATGCTAAGTAAAGTGCCGGTTTGTTTTTATGTAAGAAAATACGTTTTTCATAAAAAAAAAATACATCAAATCCACATTATCATTCTCCTGTATAATCTTTGGAATTGAGTGAAAACTTTAAAAATTCTAGAACATGTAATCTAACGTTTGGTTTGTTTTTCTAACTGGTGTGGCATTGTGTCCTGATAGCAACTTTTAAGTATTTTAAATTTGGAGAGAARGGTGGCTTTGGCTATATCTCATGTTTAGGATCTGAGAATTTTAAAGTGTCAGCTAACAGATTATTTACTAGCTGAAATAAAACGGCAAATAGTRTATATTATTTAAGTAAAATATCTTAAAGCTTTAAGATTATATACTACCACTCTGTAGTATTTCTGAAGATTTTGCTTTGAGAAGAAGRTTGAGAATGAGAACATACGTGGCTGACTCAACCGGTATCTCCTTATTTCCTTCAACTTGTGTGTCTTTGCTTCCTCTAGTTCTGTTTTAGTTTGCACTTACTGGTGAGGTTTACCTTGATGAGCTAGGAAAAGTTCTTCCAAATGAGCTTCTCCTGGAGAAATGCACGAGCTTGGCACACAAGCAGATTTAGTAGCTTCTCGACTAACTTTTTTTTTTTTTTTTGGCTTCTTCCTCATCTTTTTCTTCGTCCTCTTCTCTTTTTTTTTTTTTTTTTCAATAGGCAAACTTAAAGAAAATTATGGGCAAGGTCTTTTTTTTTTCTTTCTCCCCAGTATCTTGCTGTTTTACTGCTCTTAAGAGCTGCTAAAAACAAGGGATGATTTGTCAATTCTAATTGGTAAATTACATTTAAAAATATGAACAGTTTGTTCGGTGTTTTTACAGCATAATTGTTTGAATTTATAATCTGGGAAAATTGCCAGTATTTGAGAATTATTGTTATTTCTATAGAGCAAACAAAAATCTCTTAGTGATAATAGATTGTCTGAAAAGCAGAGTTCAAGTGCCCTTCATTGTTTCATTTTCTAGTGTAGAACTTCATGTAAAAAAATGATCTCAAAGCACCCTTAGAGGTAGTAGAAATAGTGGCCTGGTTGGCACATTGCTAAAATAAGCATGACTTGTAAAAAGATGAACCCTGTAGTTATGAGTATTTCTATATAGTACAAATACGTTGTCCATTTGGGATGAAAAGCCCAGTTCCTTTTTATACTGCGTTTCTACATCCCCCTCTTCCTGACAAACACCAAAAAATCTGGGGAGCTCTGCCCAAAACATACCCAAATCTGTGGGTGGAATGTGAGACTGCCTTGTCTAATATGTAAGCAAGTGTCTTGTTAGACTTGCCTTGCTATGGGTTTACTCTGCTTGCAGGTAGGTGGGCAGCTGCTTAATGTGATTTAGCTGTAAGGATTCCTGTTTAAATCAAGATTAAATTCTGAGTACAAGTTGTTTCAAGCATGCTTTGTGGTCGGAACTGAACAGTCTGCATGTGTGGGGTTTTGAATAATTTCTGCAATGTTTCTTCTGTGAAAAGAATGCCAAAGATTCCATGAGCTGGAGACAGAAATTCTTTGCCTTTTGGGCATTATCTCTTGTCCTAAAATTGCAAACCGGAATCATAAAGCCCACTGTTGTTTTGTCCATATATTTGCAGGAATATGTGTTAACCATTGTGCTCTTTCACCTCTTGTGTTGAGGACCTTGTGCATGATCTGAAGTGTTCAGAGAGRGATTGTCATTTTGGTGAATTGTATAAACATGACAATAACAAGCAGACTGTGGATATATTTTCAGACTACTTCTCGTCTTACATTTACTRTCAATATTTCATGAAGTAACAATAATTTCAATAGGAGATTTCTAAAAATTCACTTCTTTCTGCCTCCCTTATAATCATGAGTTTTCCAAGGTGAAAAAAGTTATTTTCTTTTGCACCAGAAGGGGCGAAAGAAGAATTTCAACTTTGTTGTCCCACATTCCCACTGAGGACCAGCTGGTCTGTGCTCAGTGAGAGCCCTTGTCTGGACCTGTGTGCACTCCAGTCCAGAGCTGAGAAGATCCATTGGATTGAGACCGACAGTGAAGAAYGCAATGAGTTGGGAATCCCACATTTCTATCTGGAAATATTTCATTTGAGAGTCTCACTGAGACAAGCATTTTGCTTCCAAGACATAGATTCTATGAAAACTGGTCACTTATAAGTTTTATTTCGAAAACTGAGCACTTGGAAGGGAAAAAAAAAAAGACAACTGTAAGGGTAGGCAACAACAGCAGAGTGGTAGCTCTGAGCATCTTAGCACTCAAAAAAGCTTTATGAATCTATCCCTTAATACCTCTTAGGGAAATGTTTCTGAAGGGCTTACATGAAAGTATTCTTGTACATACCTATGTCTTCTGGAATGAAAGATCCAAATATATTAGACAGAAATGTACTTGTACTTAGTGGGGGTTTGTTTCCCCTCTGGCAATACATTTGCTGAAGAGGAGGATGAAGTTTAGTACACTAAAACCAACCTACACTTTTATTTGTCGTTTTCTTTTGCAGAAGTGGTATTTCTTCCAGGAAATAGTAGATTTAGTTGCTTTAAGTTTGAGAAGTAAAGCAGCTTCTTCCCATCTCCATTTATGATAGAGAACACCTTTTTGTGAGTTACTTGTTGGATTTTCCTAGGCAGGCTTGGCAGTCTCGTTAACATCAACATTAATTGCCAGGGCTTCGCTCTGCTGATGAGATCTTCTGGCTTCTGTAATCTACAACATAAAATGCTCATTGCAGGCCCACGCAAGCTCAGGTTCAGGAAACTTACGCACCTATGACAATTTGAGATAATATATTATAGTTCATGCTTGTCTGTGGCTATCTAGTGTTAATATTTGCTTAGCTGGAGCGGAGAAGTGATTTACTTCTTATTTTCAATTARTGTTTGAGGAGTTACTGAGGTTTCTAATGACTTTTGAAAGTGCAAGAAACGCTGGTTAGCTTAATGGTCCATCTCTATTTTTCAGAATCCTTCTTTGTCTTGTCATTGTGATGGTAATGGTAGTAGAATTCAGTTGTGATTTTTGCAAAACAGATTTGAGACTTTTTAARTGTTTTCTAAGATGTAGGCAGCAATTGACTTCCTCTACACTCCAGGATTTAAAGAAGTATTTAAAAAATAGCTGATTGATCCTTTTATTTTTTGATCACTGTTTTGAAAAAGTAAAACAAGGCAGTGTTACTTGAAGCAAGCTTAATGCTTTAGAGAGTGCCCAGAATTYATTGTTGTTAGAATATTTTACAAAATTATAGCTGTAAATGCATTCCAGCTGATATTGTGTCAAAATTTCAAACATCAGTAAAACCCCATCATGAAGACTACTGAAATCTAGAGCTCTCTGTAAATTTTCAGTGAGTCCTGAGAGGGAAAAAGAGAGATATCCGTGTTTGTGAATGAATTAGACAAAATTCATGCCTAAAATTTTATACCACAATGTAAGAGYAGGACTTTTCTCTCTTGCTTTCTTTCTAGCATCTTGAATTTGTTGTCAACTCACGTCCTCCCCGTCTCTATTTTTTTTTTTTTTTACTCCCTCCTTTTTCTCTTTGTCCCTCAAGTACATATCCGTACATATCCTTGCATGAGGTTGCACTCTGCTAAATTTGCTGTCTAAAAGCTAGGCGTGTAACCTTAGCCAGGTGACCGCTGCAGGCAGTAAAGAGAGCTGGGTACCTGCGTTTCCTGTGTGCAGGGCTTTGGTGCGCGGSGATGGATTACTCCGCGGCGCTCGCTGTGTT